CAAGTACTGAAACTTCAGGTCTACATAGACTGGCTGAGTATCAGAGGAGCAAGGTTCTTGGGCACTGCTAGGAATCCCACTTCTCCACCCCAAACCCAAACACTTCTCAGGATCCCCCCAGTATTAAAAAAAGACAGTATTAAAAGCAGCACCAATATTTATATGACCAGGACTTATTAAATGAAATTAGAAAAAGGTTCCGCATTAAGATAAAAAGCAATCTGTTATTTTCATTCCCCATACACATGTACTCACTTCTGACATCCATCCTCTAGTCTGGTTGACTGCTAATAAGTAATGTTTTGTTTCTTTGGTTTGGGGCCACACCTAGCAGTGCTTTCTCCTGGATCTGTCAAGGATCACTCTGGATGGTGTGGTTACCATGGATTGAACCCTGGTACTAAAAAAAGATGGTCCCTGTGGGTGACTTATGTGAGGCAGAGAGGAGAGAGATGACAATTTTCTCCGGATTCATCTCTGCCACCGTGAGGCTGTCTGGGAAGGCTATGCCTGATAAAGTCACTGATGACTCCTGAATGCATGCAGCAAGCCCTTCCAGCCCCACGAGGTTTCTGTCAAGTTACACCTGACATCTGCTTGGTCTTCTCAACATGGAAGTTGATCCTTGCCACCAGATTTTTCAGGGAGTTGCAGACTCAGATTGGAGCAAGGAATCACTCTCGCAGGAAAGGAAAGTCAGTCCTAGATATTATCCAGGGATACTGGGTTTTTGTCTAGTCTTTCAGAAAAGAATTTCAGGAATAGCAGAGCAGTGAAGTAAAACAGATTTTGTTTGGAGGGTTTTAGGAAGGGGAAGAAGGAGGGAAAGTGAGAAAGAGTAATGTGCTCAAGAAAGAACGTGGGCTTCTCCACGGATAGACAGAGACCCTATGCACATGCGAGAATTAGATATGGAAACAAGAAAGTACACATCTCAAGAGGGGAAATGCAGGTGCCACGTGCTCTTGGGTGCCACATGTGCTTGGCCATAAGGAGCACGTGGGTTAGGGCAGTATTTGTGTACCTTCCCTTTGTTCAATGTGACTTTTATGGGTTTCTCCAAGCCACTTCCATCTCGAACATTCTAGCTAGGTAAGAGTCTGTTGCTAGAGTTATTTCCAAGGGGAGAGGGTTGGGAGTAGTCTTCTTTGAAACTCCTTTTCTTGATCTTTGTTCCTGCTGGATCTTCTTTTGAGGGTCTCTCCAGGCTTCTCTGGTCTTGGCTAGATGAGAGTTAATCAGTTGCAAGGAAGGAATTGAGGACTCTTCAGTAATTTCCTTCAGGCTCTTTCTGTAGGGAGAGGTCCAGTCTCCTCAAGGTGGGCTCCTGAAGAATATTTTATCAGGTCTTGCTTTCTGTATCCACAAGGTGAGTCAGACATAGGACTGGTGACTTTATTACTAACAGGAAATTTAATTGCCATGATGTATTTGTGTGTGTTTGTGGGGGTGGTGGTGGTGGTGAAGGTTTCCCTAATCTACCTTCCTACATTAGTACTACTACATGCAGGACTTGCTTGTACTATCTCTCTGACACAACTGATAATGTTTTACTCCGAGGAGAGTACTGAATTGACCTAGACACTTTATCTTTATGATATTTTTAGGATTTTCAGAAACAAAGTTAATCTAATTTTTCTATGTATTTTTAAAAGTTTTTATAATCAAACTGACCTGATTACAGAGGAAATGTTATTAGTCTTTTATGGTGAACAAGAAAGAGATATGAGAGAAAATTATTAAAAATTATTTCTAGAAGTCCAGAGCTATTATTTGAAATATAAACCAATTTTATTCTTGCCATCTGACTGAAAAATAGCTGGTAGCTTTAGCTTCAATGAGTGATATTCCTGAGAAGTCTAAAGAGGTAGGACAAAAATCAGTAGCAAGTTTTAATCCGGACTTCAAATTGGTGAGCATTTTTTAGCCTCTTCTATAGTTGTATTATTTATTCTTGCTTGTTATACAGTATCCTCTCAAACACAGTGGTCCAATCTTGAGAGATTATTTATTGCATAACCAAAACAATCTCAAAATGTTTTAACCCAAAACTCTTTTAGTAAAAATTTAATTATTGCTAATGGAAATTCTGTTTCCCAGACTTCTTCCTTCTGGGAATTTCTGAAATTTTCCCAAACTATTATTTAAGAGTCTGTATTAACTTCATAGATTCCTATATGTATTTATATTGACTTCTTCAAGTTGTCTCACATATTTATAACTTTTCATCAATTGGGTCTAAAATTTTCTTCCTAAACAAAACCTCCTCTCTTCAATCTTTGGAAGCTGGCAATTAAACAAACCAGAAATATCCAAGAACAGATGTATGAAGTTAGGGGAACATTTTGAGAAACCAATAACAGAAATTTCAAGTTTAGAACTCAAATCCCAGCAGGATTCCACAGGAGAAAATACAGCTCAAATCTCAAAGGAATAACAACAACAAAAGGCCAGTAGGTGGTCAAGTGGCAAAGGAAGACCACCCATAAGGAAATAAGAAGAAAGTTCAAGTGCTATAGCCTGCTACTTTGCTGTAAAACTAAGCAGAACAGAATCAGCACTGTTGCCTTGCCATTTTCAGCTTGCTGTCTCCTTATACTGCATAAGTGGTTCCAACGTCTAAGCCAAGATTTCCAGCAATACCCCTTCATTAACCCAAGTTGAGTTTTAAATAGAAAGAAGCAAATTATATATCATTAAAATATAATATTTAAATAAACTGAAATCCGAATCCAAAGGTACACATCTTTAAAAATTTTACAATTTGTAAAATTCATAGAAACTCAGTTTCTTTCTTTGCACTAGAAAGAATACCCAAGACCCAAGACTTTAGAGATTTTTCTCCTTTTCTGTTGGTAGTGGAAATGTATGCTCTGTAAAATCTGCTATCACTGAGGTAAAAATATCCAAGTCACTGAATCTTTAAATCCTAACTTTTTATAAAGTGATTTTTAGAAACCTCAAGTTGATCATGAACGAAATAATAGATGTAATTTTCATTTATAGTACATTTTAAGGTTTTCTATTCAACAATGTGTCTGGCTGGAGAAACAATGCCAAAAAAGGAAATATATGACTCCTGCCTTTAAATATACCTTGATTTAAAAATAGATTTGATTATGCAATTGCTCCATATAGCAGAATTTCTTGATGATTGGCATTTCTACAGCTTGTGTAACTGCCTCTAGCTAGTTCTGGGATCTCAGTTAAATTACTTAACTTGTGGGCCTTATGTTTCTCTGGTGGAAAGTTAATGGCTATAGCTGCCTGTTCACAAGTCTTTTTTTGGCCCTCATGAATACACTTCTAAGAATTTTTTCATGTCTTACCTCTGTCCTAGTCTACACAAACTACTATAATAAAACACTTCAGGCTAAGTAGTTTACAGGCAACAGAAAAAAGCAAAACAAAACACTTTCAGAAGCTAAGAAATCTGAGATTAGGATCGCCAAGCACTCCTTAAGGCCTCTCCCAATTGCATCTCAATGACTTCTCCCAAGTAGAACTGTTGATAGGTCTCTGGGATTTCTGCTATCAGGGCAGTAATCCCAATCTCAAGAGCCCCTTTTTATGATCTATCCGCTTTTTCCAACCTCCTCCCCATATTAATAGCAATAATTAGGCTTTCAAAATATCAATGTGGAGAGGACACAGGCATTCAGATCAATGTCATTTGATCCTCATGATCATCTGCAGTGGAGGAAGGTAGAGAAAGTGATTTGTTGATCATCATAGTTAGAGGGATAATGTGGCAGTAAGCAATCTCATGTAAAAACCCAGTGTCCAGAGACTGGGAAAGTTGGGACAGGATCACAGGAACTGCTGGGCTTCAGTTAGGCCCAGCAACCAGTACAAAGCACAGAGATCTTCCCCATAAGCATCTGGTGGCAGAACAGAAAATAATGAAAGCCAGGACAAAATAGTCAGGGAATCATACGGGTACAATCCAGTAAAAGCCCAGGGATAAGATTTCAGAGGAGGGAAGTAAATACAGGCTAGAGAGTGATGAGAGGACAGGTCCTGTCCATCATACACTGGAGGACAGTAGGCCCTGTGGGATGGGACTTGGACATCATGCATGAGACAGGGCAGAGCCAGGGACAGGAAGGGTGACGTTGTTCATGGGTAAAGGGAGAGACCTAGACATATGGGGAGGGACTGGGACCAATCTACTTACACTGTACAATTTTCAAGAACCCACCAGTTCAGGAAAATCCACTTTCACAGTAGCAATTTTACAGCTGTACACCCACCTTGCACATGACCAATCTAGGTTACATCCCAGCAACCCATTTGGTCACCTGAGACCCACCAGGAGAGATCCCTGAGCTCAGACCCAGAACACTGCTGGGTGTGGCTTCCAAACAGAAACAAAACAAAATAAAATCAACACCTGAAAAAGGAAAAACTTTTTGAACCTTGATTTTCTTAACATTAAACCTAGAACACAGCCATAAATTTTCGTAAGTTGCTTATTACAATTCTGAGCAAAATTTATCCTGTAATAAAGGAATTGGAAAATAAATCAGAATCTTACTATATAACAATTTTAACAAGCTTCAAATTCTTCATCTGTCAGTTTGACCTTGCCTAGAGCATAAGGTTGACTCCTGAATGTGTCACACTCACATTTCTTACCAGAAAAGAATTGTTTGGTATCAGAACAGGATCTCCTAATTTGGTCACTTTTACCAAGAAAACAAACAAACAAAAAAACAAAACTGAAACTGGGAATTGATGCTGTTTAAAATATTTTCCATTACATTTTTATAGTTTCTCAATAAAACAAAAGAAAACTAAGTGCCATCTTTTCTGACCATGGCCAGCCTAATATCAGCAGGCCTTCATATTACTACTGAAATTAATATTACTGATAAATGAACCACAATATTTCTCATTTGACCCTCAATCTCTACTCTTAAAACACTTTCCCATCATACAATTAAAACCCAAGAGATTGTAAATGTGACTGTAGATTTAAAAAAGGCATATGCAAAGTATTTGTTATCAATGTTTTATTGTTGAAAACAAAATTGAAATTCTCTGGCACATAAAACAATTATTTCTACAAAAGCAAAGCCTACAAATCTTGATAATTTATACAAATAACAATTTCTCAAAAAATAAAATTTTAATTTAGTAAACTTGTCTTGTGCTCTATTTATTTTTTAGCACTGTCTGCAATAATCCACCATAAATCCCTGAGCGGCGACATTTTTTAACCAGGTTCTAAAGTCCCTCCCAGCCCTCCCACCAAAATGGTCAGTAACTAAGCCCAGCCCTGTAGTGAAAGGTATCAGGGACATTTAGTTATTAAATATCCATGCATTTTACGATGCAGGCCAATTATTAATGCTACTTGAGAACTGGGTCAACATGAAGTGCATCTACTGTGCCATCAGTGAAATTATTAAGAACCAAGTGTTTGAAAGGAAAAACCATAAAAATAAAGAATAAAATGTTAAGACTTGGAAGTCATAATAGGTCATTAACTATTTAAATAAATTAAAATGTTAGACATTGAATTCATAAGTAATTTCTTATACCCTTATATTAAATTGCATTTTTTGCAATTGCCAATGCAGTAGATGAAAAACACACTTCACCACCTTCTTTTGATTTGACACTGATTTGTTGTTTTTAATGATAAACGGTATTCTGCTGTGATTTAGTTATAATTTAACTTTTGACCCTCTGAAGAAATGTTAGTATACATATTAAGAGGGCATTCTAAATAATAACATTAACAGATCTCTCTCACTACATTTACCCTTCTCACAAAAACACTAACGCCATACGAATACTGCTCTACATTCTTTATCCCACCTATTTAGATATGTGGAAAACATAAAATAATGGAGAAAACATAATGTAATGTATTTTCATGTCCAGCTACTCTTTAATGGAGATGTTGATCATATATACAAAGTGTGAAAGAAAGAAAAAAGCTAATGTTCAGTTGCAAAGAACTGGCTTAATCAAGTTTTGTTATTTTGCTATGGTATAATAATAAATAAATAAATATGTAGGGTACTGCATACTACTTTCTCTACAAATTTGATAGATAGATGCTGTTTGCAAAGTTTTTAGTAGAAGAGTTTCACTGCAAGGAAAAAAAGCAAAGTTCAGTAATATTTCCTCCAATTCATTAAAGTTTTTTACTTGTGAAATAATCATTAAAAGTTACTACAGGGAATGAAATAGTATGTCAAATCACCTAGTGAAAAATAATTTTCAATTATGAAAAGCACTTAGGAGAGGATCTAGCAATGCAGGCTAATGCTATACACCATTATAGCTTAAAGTAAGTCATTTTGATATCCTTTGGGAAAAGCAAAATACAATAAAAATAATTCCTTAAAAATTATCAGTATTGCTATTTATGTCTCTAGTAGAAAGTGATTAGTATTCCACACTCTTTCCAAAATATAAAATCATTGGCAACCATTATTATATACTGCTTTACACGCACTTGATAATTTAACCAGCAACATCTGGGAAGCACAAGGCACCTCCCTTTTTGTTTAACAGTTTCTGGTTATTCGAAATAAACATGTTTAATTTCCTTTTGTTTAAATCCTTAATTAGCCAGGAACAGTCATTTTTAAAGGCAACATCAAAAAAACAAGGATTAATACAATGAATGCTTCTAGGCAGCGTGGGGAAAATATCGGTGACAATAATATGAAAAACACCTGCCTGATACATGCAAGGCTTCCCCAACCCTTCACAGAACACCAGGTTGAAGTGTGCTTTGCTCTAATATCTTTTTTCAAACATGGAAAAAGGAAAGCATGTTCAAAGAGCGAAAACTGCGATTTCCAAATCAGAAGACATGATATGTGCTAGTCAGGAAACAACAGTAGATTCTAACAGATCATGACACAGTACGAAAAGAAAGGGGGAAAAAATTGTTTCTGCGTTTCAGAAATTGATAAGCAGGCTGTCCCAGGGAGGAAAGACAGCAGCGTCAGGACAACCGGCCAGCTCCACTGCAATCCACGCCACACTTGGATCACTCCCAATGAACACTTGACCTTGATAGTTTACCCTGGCTGCTGGAGACCCCGACTTCCTCTCACAGTGTTTAAGGAACAAAACAGTTTTCTCATTTCTCTTTCCAAAATGAATAACCTGTGTAACTTAGACTCCTCCCCCACCCTTTAAAAACGCCGAAAGATCCTGTTTTTTTTTTTTTAAGTGCTCTGGTTTACAGTTCTGTGGGCAACAATTCCAGCCTCTCCGGAGGTTTCCCATGTTCCCCTTTTTGGTGTTAATAACGGCTGTGCCAACAGTCAAGTGGATACTCCAAGAGGTGGCAGGGAGTGACCTCAGTGACCTCTGCCAGCATCTTGGAGTCCAATCAGCTCTTGCCATAGCACTGCTGGGAAGTTCTGCTCGCTAGTGAATCACGGAGGGTGAGGCACTGCCCTCCTGTGTCAGGTCTTGGAAGTCTTTAAGCCTTGTTTCTCCATGATGTTCCAGAGTTTGCGGAGATTTGACTGCGTGATGACATCATCAGGCTTGAGCTGCAGAGCCCGCAGGTAGTTGGCCTCAGCCTTCTGGAGCCGGCCGTTGAGGTGCAGAATCGCTCCCAGGTTCATCAGAGCAGCTGGATACTGCAACCAGAGAGAGGAAGGAGAACCATTAAGAGCTCGCTCAACACTTTGCTTCCTGGAGGAGAAAAATCTTCATCCACTTATGCAAATGATTCCCTTATGTGGAAGATATTTTATGGAAGCAATTTAGCCATTCATACAAATAGACAAAGCTAACTAGCAAGGAAAAGATGTTTTCAAACAGCTGCTGTGTACTTTGTGCTTTAAAGGACCAGGCAGAGAAATAGTTTCTCTTCTTGGATGAGAAAGCAACTAGTTTTTCTAGTTTTTATAGCTTTGATGACCTAGTGATGTGGTCAGATATTATTTTGAAATGGAAAAAAATTGAGAATTTCAGATGGAAAGATATGAACATATTTTCAGCACTGTGTCAAGGCATAAAAAAATGAATGGGAAAAGTTGTCAAGTCCATATCCAGCCTCTGTGTGTTCCTTCTCTTTAATTACATACATTTTTGAAAATGTATGTAATTTATGAAAATTATGATAATTTATAAAAACCCTGAGAAAATTTTTAAGTAAACCTTTAAATTCTTTCTTAAATCTAACCTGAGAAGTTTAATGAGGAAAAAAATCCTATTTTTTTTAGGTTTTATACTTCTAATGGTGACTATTTATTATAAATATTAAAAAGAACATAAAAAGTGATAAAATGAGCTCCAGAAAAAAATGTAGCTTTTACAGGAAAAGACCTATGTCGTTTGTTAAAATGTAAAGTAACTTTCAAAGGATTCTCTAACATGATAAGTGTAATACAAACTTACTGTGCAAAAGGAAAAGCTAAAAAATAAATGTATGTTATGTAATACCACTTAACACAGGTGTTCCTGAAATTCTCAGGCATTAGTTAGTATCAAAAGTCTTTCCCCCCCGCAGAAATAATTCTCAACTTACTATCTATAAAGAAAAAGTCTTGTCTGCTTTAACTTTATCCATAGAAAGTTCTAAAAGGGATCAGAAAATAATTGGGGAGTTACATAAATGCATATTTTGAATAGCAGATAAAGTGTGTGTGCTGAGATTATGCTTTCATTTTACAGATGGTGTCCACTATTAATTTTCCTGGACACTGTGATACAGTCTAGTATAATTTACATTTTTTTATGATTTAGTATTCATACAGTGCATACATTTTAGAACTGAAATCATGTGACTATACTCTCTTCTGTAAAAACAATGACCTCCGAGCCCAAAACAATGCTGGGGAGTGACATGAGAAATTCAGAAGAAAACTGAGTGAAGATGATCAAATTTTAAAAAGAGATCTTATAACAGAAAAAGAAAAGCTGGATTGTGTTCTTGCACATTGACTATGACCCTGGCAAGATTCCCTAACATACGTGTGTCCCAATTCTTTTCCATTTATAGAATAATGAATGGGCACCAAATTTATACATGGTATTAGAAAGATAACATTAAAAAATATAAATGAATATAGGGGCCAGAAAGATAGTCTAGGGATGAAGGAGGTAAGGTGTTTTGCTTTGCACGTGGATGACCCTGGTTCAATCCCCTGCAACATATATGGTCCCTACTACTGCTAGGAGTGATCCTTGAGCACAGAGTGAGGAGTAACCCTTGAGCACTGCTAGGTATGGCCCTTCAAATAACATAAAACAACAACTGCAACAAAAACCTCAAAGCACACAGAAGAAGACCAAACCCAAACTCCAACAAATTAATGTGGCATATGGCATGCACAGAGCACACATGTATAGTTGTGATTATTATTTTTTTTTTTGCTAAACAGACTATCACTTTTATGTCAATGACTACATAATATATCTTTGGAAGAGTACCAAAATTCCTGAAGTCCTCAACTACTAGACATTATTTTTCAACTTTTCGACATCTTTTTTCATTTCCAAAAATAATGTTGCAAATATAAGCTATTTCTGACCTTCAAAAACCTTTTGGTCAGGATGACTCCATACTTATCAAGAAAAATACAGATGGTCAATTTCTAATTTTAAACAGCAATCCAAATAAACATAGCTCTAAATTATATGTGCAGGGAATAGCTCCACACTGAAAACCTAAAATAACACCAACTCCTCTGTCTTCCTAAAAAAATGTTGTTATCATACCACCCATTATTATCTTGAGTTGCTTGTATCTGGACACTTTTTCTGAATTATGCCTCCTCCACAGAGCTTAGCAGCACTATCATAAAAAATGAAAAAGAAAAACTACTAAACTGATGGTGAAATGTGCTTAGAGTCCGAATGGCTAGAGATGTAAATTAGATAAATGTTCAAAGTTCCCCATTATCCTGAGTGGGAAGAAAGAGAAACAAAACCACTGGTAAAGACGATTTCTTATGAACTAGAAATAGAAGAGGTCCAGAGATGAGAATGAGAGAAACCAGATGGCTCTGTGGAAGTTTTCGTTCTCGAATCACTTTATTATCAAAGTGTCTGTACCTAACTATAATTGCAACTCAAGGGGATTAAAAACACTCAGAGGTTACCAAGTCACACTGCCTGTGTTCCAACACCAGCTCACCCCTAGCGATATGTGTGCTTGGACAAGCCTAGTGAGTGTTGGGACCTCAGATTCTTCTATAAATGGATGCAAGTACTTCCTCAATTGGGCTCTGTTCAGACAATATGCAAATATAAAATTAGTGTCTTTTTCTTCTTTTCCCTATTCCTGCTCATCATCTCCTAACCAAAAAGGATATTCTGCTTGAAAATTTTTCCAGCCCAGTTTTCCAGTGGTGAGGATTTGAAACCCTTTATCTTAACAAGCTTCATAGTCTTTCTATGAAGGCTAAACCTGTAAGAGGCTGTTATGGAAATGGATATTGAAGTATATACAAGCATATAAAATAGTTCTACTATCATTACTAGTTGTATCTCAAGAGATTCTAATCACGTTAGAGTCACTTTCCTGACATTAAATAGGGAAAGACATTATTCTAAGAAAACATAATTTGAAAGTTAAGTTGGCTACTAAAATGAACTCTGAATGCTAATTAAATCAGTGTTTTGGAAATAATTATATCATACAATAAATCTTATGAATGTTTGTAACACCCACTATATTCTCTAAAGTCTAGTGTTTTAGCTGTGGGTCAAAACATCATTTTGGAATGTGTAACTGAATATGGGGATTGCTAAATGTGCAGCAAACAAAATATAATTCAAAAAAACCAGACATTCAATGAATCTGAGGTGTTTCTGGCAGCATTGCACCTGAATTTCCAAAGTAGTTAAGATTGGAAAAAAGTTCAAAAAGTCTGGCTATTCAAATAGCAAAGAATCCTAGTAAACTGAAAATGTGCATGTTTAAAATCATCATTTAATATTTTTAAGTTGCTTTCAATTTCTATGTTGAGATATAACTTTTTTGTGTGACTAGATCAATTTTAATAGATTAACTTCTTAAAATTTTAATAATTGACAAAAATATATTACACAATACTTAAAATGTCACCATAACTCCTTATTTGAATATGAACTGATTAAATTTACATACCAATGTGCACAAATATGACAAAGCAAATAGTATCACTGCTTTAGGTAATGCCTTGAAAATGTCAACAGTTATTTAGACAAAAACAATCTTGTCCATTAAAATTTTATGAGTAAAAATAGACTTTTCTTATATGACTGTTTCCTCTTTTCAATTGCAAGAGTTTTTAATCCTTTAAGTTCACAGCAGTTATTAGGAAAGCTTACTAGAAATCTACTGGGTGAAGTCTTAAAATATACAAGTCTTGTTACCAAAAAAATGTAATTTTGGGAGTACAAACAAGTCAAAGACGTGCCGAGTCTCAGAATCCACTTAACGACCTAGAAGCTAATTTTTACTAAGATTCCCCAGATGCTTTGTTTGCTCAGTATAATTTTAAAGGCAAAGTTTTGAGGTTATTTCCAGATCCCACATTATATCATTCTTCACTTTTGAAATGAAAGAGGACAGAGTTCCTATAAAACAAACATAACACCTAGAATCCACTCTCCATAAATTAGAACTCTTTTTTTGACCATGCGATTATTATTATTTTGGTGCTCAGGGCTAAACTCTGGCTATTTGCTCAGGATCACTTCTGGAACTGCTCAGGGACAATACCTGTTGCTGCAGATCGAATGATGGTCATCAGAAGACAAAGCAAGAATAACCCCTTTACTATCACTCAGACCCCAAGTGATGATTTTTAAATCAATATGTGCTCAAGTAAAATTTTATTAAGAGAAGTATCACATGGTATTTGATAGAATAGGGGATAAAAATGTTTTAAAACCAAATAACAGCACGCAAACATTTCTACCTACACAGACTGAAATGCAAGAGGGAGAGGTGACTGGTGGTCTGACAAAACACTGCGGATTGCTCTTTGCCAGCTGTGACTCATGGACTAGGGAACCAAAACTCAGCCACAACTGCAGATGATTTCCCTCACACACATCCCATTTTATTAAAGACAGCTGATGAAATTTTCAGCATGTTAACAAAGGCAGATGGCAGCTTGCAAAACCGGTAACATGGGGCTTGTGGCTCTGTACAACGAATGACATTTCTTTACTTCCTCTTTACCTCTTTACTTTTTCACTTTCTCTTTATTTCTTTACTTCTTTACTTCTGCTTTACTTCCAAAGGCTGACTGGCAGCCATTCTAAGACAACAAATGATGTATTTTTCAAGTTTCTAGGGAATTGTGCTTCTGTGGTTACCTGATTGTGGTCTTTGATTTATTTATCCAATATTGGAGGAAATAAGCAAACTTAGAGTAATTGATGTATACTTTGGTAGAGAAGAGCAAGAATAAGATTGTGGAGGTCTGAGTTATGTGTTGAGCGCTTAAGACTCCCAGCGTAACCAGCTGAGCTCACAGGATATCCTGAGTCAACTGAATTGGAAGCAAAGTCATTTTCTTGTCTCTTATCCATTACATATACTTAAAAAGACAAGTATGGAGAAGGAATAGTGAAACCACATGGGGACTAGAATTGGTTATTTGTGTTTCTGTTGAAAGTAGAACTAAAATGTAGAACT